GCACAGGCAAAGCGTTAATGGTGAGCATATAGGTGGGCTCAAATGAACCACCGAGGAGCAGACACGCTGAGTGGTTGACCGTTATCATGATGGAGGCTTCTGGCCTTTGATAGCGCGTCGAGAGGTGGTGCGAGAGGTCGGTGACCAGGGTGTATTCGTCTTTGATCTACGCCGGGTTAGTGATTTGCCAAAAGAGTGGAGCTCGGCAGAATAACAACTTACGATAACGTTTGTCCGCAGCTCGGCTACAATGGGGGCATCCTTGGTCACACGGTCGCGAGCCGACGACGCCATGCCGTCCTTGTAGGAGAACTGATCCTCGTAGAACTGTGCACGCGAGCGCGAAGTCATGGGCCGCAGGGGACCTACTTCATCCGCGGCGGCACTCGGAGCGCGGTTCCGGGAGTCGTGCTCGATGTCCTGGACCGACTGGGGCGACGATGCAAAAGAGAACTGTGAGTGCGCGGGTGAGAGCTGTCCATTGGCCTTCTCCGGCGAGAGGAGGGTAGTGCCTGCCTGTTGGGGAAATGCATTGTTGCCGGAGTAGGTCGAGGTGGACGATGGGCGTGACATCTTGGCTTGGGTCGAGGTAGAGTTGTTGACCGAATGGGGCATGATAGAGGAGAGAAAACGATGGGGAATTGAGGATATAAGAGTAACGACCAGGGTTATCTGTCTGGTATGGGATTTGCCTAGATATGGATAAAGGCGTTGGTGCACATGCAAGAGCGCAGATCCCGGCGCGCTTCTCTATCTTGCAGTGTGAGACGAGGTCCGGATTGAGACGCGGTGGCGTTTGGTTATCAGCGACCTGGGGGAAACGGAAACTGGGAGAGAGTCCGTGGGGAGTCCGTGTATCGATTGACGGTGTGGTGGAAGATGGTGCGGCAGGACGCAAGTGATGGGCGGTAGCAGTCCAGGGTTGAGGAATGGATGACGACTGAGCAAACACCCCGCAGATGCAAAAGGAAGGCGCTGGTCGGAGAGATGCAGGAGATGGGCCCTGGGCAGAGCACGGCGAACCACTGTATGATATATTCCCATAGTCGCCGCATGCCAGTGCACTTGAGCACCAAGCCTCAAGCATCTCGGGTAGAGCGACAGGGGTGCGGCCTCAAGTTGCAGCATCACCTGCACACGGGCCAGCCGCCCGCCATGCAGTTTTGGGCGCCTGCACACGATCGGACTGGGTATCTGACATGAGGCCTGGCTGAAGACGGCTGTGCGCTGCATCCTTATCTGGCGATGCGTCAAGTGTCGGCGACTCCAGCGAGCCCTCAGCTCTCAGGAAAGCCATGTTTGCTGCTCCAGGCGCGCCACCACCCGCACCTGCCAGCTGTGCCGACCGCGCTTTCCTCACCCCTCGCTGCGACTGCCAGTTGAAAATAGCATCGCCCACAAGGGAAAGGGCAACCCCGTCCCCCCTGGTCCAGGACGTTGGCCTCAATCTCAGCGACAACGCAACACCACTGTGGTCCACTCAATCGAGGTTTGACGCTGGCTCCTAGCCCGCGCACTAACCCCGTCGCCGGCCACTCCTCCTACCCCGCCAAACCGAGCCTAGCCTGGAGCCGCTCTTCTTGGACGCTCGCTCCGGAGTCTCGACCTCTGTTCGACGGCCGCGCCTCTCGTGCCATGTCTCTGGTCTGCCTGCACTCTTTCGTCAGGAGGTACGCGGGCGGGAACAAGCAGCATCCGCTACTCTACCTGGAGCCGCCCTGCTCGCACAGCATCGGCGGTCACTGGTACATGTCGTGGCCACATTCCAACTCCGCAGTTCGGCGCGCTGCCGAGCGAAGCCATACCAGACACCAACGCCGACATGGTCACTGATGTGCATATGCCTTCCAGATGCAGAAAGGCACGACACTGCACGCGTCACAACCCAATCACTGAGACAGCCACCGGCATTCATCCTTCAGTCACTTCCACGCATCATGGGTACCCAAATAATTTGTGTGCAAAGGAGCGGGAGATAAACAGCTGATGCAGGTACTAGTTCTTGTTTGTCCCAGTCTCGACCCCAAAGCGACGGGACCTAGCAATCTCCACTTATATTCAATGGACCGTACCTCGATAACGACTCAAGCTATTGCTCCTTCTCTGCCACGTCTGCGTAAGGAGTTGGGAGATAGCCAACCGCCCAACTTTGCTCCTACCATGTTCGCTGCGCCTCGACTTCTCCCGAAATGACTGTCCCAATCCATGGTGAACCAGCACCAATCGGAACGCAGTGCGCAGAAAACCCCCCTGGCTTTACAAAATCCTCTTTGTTCGTGGCACAGCTCCATATATGTACTATGTGTCAGGCGCTCTGCACGTCAAGACCCTTTCGAAATGTCTGCTGCCAACGCCGTGTAACGACGTACCCTACCGGTCGCATAGTACCACCTCGATCTCATTTCCCCACAATTGGCTCTCAGCCTCTCGAATAGATAACTAGTCCAACGGCTGGCCTCTCTCTTTGTCTCGCTGGAACCGCCTCCTCACGCCATTACCAAGTCACGATTACACCGACTTCATTAGTCTACATACCCCATAGTGAGGGTTCGATCCAATGCGGACACTACGCGAGTAACCGTAATTATCAATACGAAATGAACGGCGCCACCGTGCGGCCCGTATTCTGGCTTGCGATGCAATGTCAAGCTTTTGAGGTGGGCTTGTGGCGCGTAAACGAAGGAAGGATGGTCTGTGTTCTCCGTGATCGTATAACGTTGTTTCTTACACCTGCTCAACGGTCGGTTGATGTAGTTTGGCTTGGCAACCAGAGACGGTCTCCGAAATGATTACGGTTGTGACAGTGTACATACCGTGGCGGTGTAGCATAGCGGAAAATTGGGAGATGTGATGAACCAACATAAGGCGCCCATTCCGAAGGCTGTGCAGCACCGAGGACGGTGCGCAATACCGAACGAATGGCCACATATGAGATAGGGCGCCTTGATTTATGGCCTGAGGATGAGCTTAGAAGCCTTTTGGAGTCATGGAAGCGAACGAATGCTACAGACCTCGGTATCAGAATGTTGTTGTTGTATTTTATGACGTACACGTGAGAGCGCGCAGCGTGTTGTGGATCGCGCGGGCACCGTCCAACATCAAGCGCTGCCTCACTCCACATTTCGTGACCTCCATTGACCACCCGCAACTCAACTCAGTCTCCATTCTGCCTCTAAATGCCACCTAAGAACGCGACAGCGAATGCCGCGCGCCGGAAAGGCCCGTCTTTCAACCCACCAAGACCCGTGGGTGCGCCTTCTCAAGCATCCACCGCGACGAAACGCGCCCCAGCGGTGGCATCCCGCGCGACAGGCGCCGCAAAGAAGAGCAACGCGGGGTCCTCGAAGACAGCCTTCACACCAGCCGCTGATGTAATCGATCTCTCCGACGATGATCAAGACGAAGAGCTCGCGGAAGATCTGAACATCTCCGACTTTGACGACATCATGGACGATGCACCCACTGCCAATCCACCGCCAGCGGCCGCCGCCCTCGACGAACCCGCTATTTCCCGAGCGCTCCTCGCACGCCTACTTCTAGAGAACTTCGAAGACCCAAACATACAAATACAAACAGGTGCGATGAAGCTGGTGGGCAAGTACATTGACATCTTTGTCACGGAAGCTTTCCTCAGAAGCCAGGACGAGATGAAGGCAGCGGCAAAGGACGGCGGTAGCATCGATGGTTTCCTCCAGGTGGAAGATCTGGAGAAGCTGGCACCCCAACTTGTGCTCGACTTCTGAGAGTGCTGTACACATGAAGACACGAAGATTCAGCGCAAACCAGCGAGGAGATGAGAAGGACAACTAGCTACTATCTGGATATATGCAGGCTTATTTGGATATGGGGTTAGCATGTAGCTCCAGGCGACAACCAACGGGGAGCTTCATACAGACCATAGCGCTGGTCTCGAGGACTGCGCCGCACCATACATGCGCTCCTCGCGGCCTATCCTTGGATGACAGAACTGTAAGGGTATTTTTGGAACACCACAAGTCATTACGAGCGAAGACGGGTGTTCGGCCCACGGCCAAGGCTCGTGGTAGTAAGAGGTGGAGATGTCAAAAGGCCGAAACATGGACATGTACTCATCTGTCGTTTTCAGAACGAACTACTCTTCAGAAGTCAGGCCGAAAACACCCATGAACAAATGAAGGACACGTCGGCCTGGCATGTTTGAAACATGACCACATGACGCCTGGCTTCCAAGATCTTGTCGGTGACTGCTACTCCTACTGCACAGCCTGACCGACATGTAATGCAAAATCTCGCAAACAGATCTTCCGGTTGCCTGGCTTGATCGGCCTTGAGATTGCCGTTGCCGCGCGTGGTCTGAAGCATCATGGGGTTCGGCTCAAACACACCCGGAACGTGGAGCGCGTCGCACCCTCAACACCTAGCTGCATCTCGACGAACACCAATATTGCGATATCGTCAACGCGACACTGGAAAAAGCATATGTTTTTTGCTTTGCACCGCACTGCACTGCGTTATCGTCGACTATCTCTTGCGTGCTTTTCAAATGTTGCAGTCATCTCACAGCGATGATGTTCCCGCTGCAAGCTACAGACAAATATACCCGTTTTAAGCCTCATTTACAGGGTCCTCAGCCGAACCAGGAGGCTGAAGCAGTTCTCGCCTCTAACGTGTCGCAACACCAACCCCATGTATCGGAATAGCTAGTAACCGCCCAAGCCACGCATGCAAATCTTTCATGCCTTAAGATGGCCCTATAGCCGTCACCTCAGGCTCTCTTTTCTTCATCTCTGCATCCCACGTTTCTTGTCACTTTGTGTTGCATTTTCCTTTGCATCTATCTTTCTTTACTTACCTCTTCACAATCTTTAATATACAACTGGCTAGTCCAGCTTGCTACTTTTCACGACCCAAAGCGCTAGTCGCCCATCCACTCTCTTGACGAGACGAGCATCGCAATACGAATCGCATACTTAATACCAAACTCGCCTTTACGCAAACGAACACCACATACACTAGTCAACATGTACTTCTCAAGAGCAACCATCGTCTCCGCCATCTTCGGCCTCGCATGCGCACAGGAGTCTTCCATGTCTATGTCCATGGGCTCTGCTACTGAGCCAACTCTCTCCTCAGCAGTACTCGGCAGCGTCTCGACCTCCACACCGGCCGCAATGGCAGGTATGGTCATGACGCACGTAGTCCAAGTCGGAGGACCCAACGGAAGCCTGACCTTCTCTCCCTCCAACATCAAGGCACAGCCCGGAGATCTTGTCCAGTTCCAATTCCACCCCAAGGTACGTCCTATCATAGTCCCTACTTCCATCTCTCCAACTAACAATGCCCCAACAGAACCACTCCGTCGTCCAATCCACCTTCGACAACCCATGCACCCCCATCCAAAACATCATGAGCAACAAGACCGACGCCTTCTTCTCCGGCTTCATGCCCACCAACGCCTCCCTGACCGCCACAAGCCAAGTCCTTACCTACACCATCCGCGTCGCAGACGAGAAGCCCGTCTGGTTCTACTGCTCCCAAGGCAAGCATTGCCAGGCTGGTATGGTCGGTGCCATCAACGCGTAAGCCACTGCCCCGTCTACAACAATCCGCATGCACCTACTAACACTGTATCCAACAGTCCCGCATCCGGCAACAAGACAATGGAAGCCTTCGTCGCCCTCGCCGCTCAAGCTACTGAGAACCTCTCCCCCGGCCAAGCTGCTGGCTCTGGTGGCGCATCTGGAAACACACCTACCTCGCCTTCAGCTGGCGGCGGCGCAAACTCTGGCACTGATGGCACCTCTGGTGGCGCTGCAGGTGGCGATGCTAGCGGTACTGCCAGCGGTGCTCCTGCCCAGCAGACTGCCAACACTGCGGCGGCTGGTTTCAGCGCCCAGACCTTCATCGGCGCTGCGGCGGCTGCTATTGTTGCCGCTGTCGCCGTCTTGTAAGGTGGACAATTCGAAGCTTCTTTTTCTGGTGTGATTACGGGGGGTTCATCTAACGTTGTGAAGATGGACGGTTGGAGATTGTATGCAAGAATGGCATTATTTTAGTTTATGTGATACCACGTTTATATGCATGGCTTGCAATTGATCTAGAGCTGGTTTTTCACTCTTGGGTCTGCGGTCATTGGCGCTTTTTGCTTTGAGAAATTGGTAGAAAATAATAGAGACGAATATTGATTGCTCGTATAAACCTTCTTCGGACTATTTGGTGAATGAGCATGCTCGAATTGGCCTTGTTATCTTCAGGCTCTGTCTATTACCTGATGAACAGTCTTGCTTCGCGAGTTCAGGTTTTCTAACCTCTGCGACGAGACTCGAAGAGACCTAAGATGGCTAGCATGCACCCTCTTACCGATCAACGTCAGCGGGGAACACGTGCGTAGAACAGTGGATGCACACAGGTCAAGCGGTGGAGATATGCGGGTGGGGAAAACGTGCAACACGACTCACAACACCGTGCACAAAAGAGCCCGGGTAGGTTACTCCAAGGAGTATGTGCAACGTCCGGTCGAGACCGACCTGATAGCATCGTGAGGATTGGCTCTGGTGTTGCTGCCGCGGCGGATCTCGCGTTCATGCGCCATGATGTCATGCAACTGAGCTTAGAGTTTTCACCCTGCACCTGCATCCGTCGCCCGCAGAGCCTCTTCCCATCTATACCCCAATCGGACGACTACGGCATGATGATCAGTTGCCAGACCGCATTCTGACATGCCGCAGCTGGAGCCGATAAGACTCTTTCTTGCTGCCTGCCCGAGGTGCCACTGACCCACTCAGACGCGACAGTCTGAAAGATTTTGTCAACGTCGCAACGCGATTAGAGCGAGGCAACTCTCTTGCGAGCGTACCTGTCTTTGTAACGGACACAAGGAAGCCAAATAAGTCAAGCATTATCGGGTGACCACCTTAGCTGCTTGAGAACTTGTGGGTTTTCGACCCACTTGGCCCATTCTTTGCTTGAGCCGCATGCAGATCTACGGACGTTTGGCCTGTCGGGAGGTGAGCGCACGTCGGCAAGAAGTGGATTAAGCACATATCTACTAGTTTTTCGCTGCATGGACGAAGCTTACCGTCACATAGTTGGGTCCACAAGACACAACCGCCAAAGAGCACCCCGACATGGCCAGGCTAGGCCCACCCTGAGACACACTTCATCGCCCAGGTCGTCGATGTCGTCGATGGCATCTATCACCCCGATCTCAACGTCAAATTTTAGGCCGATTTTGTACGAAATGGGTTCGCAACAATGGATCCCATTGTGACAGGCCCCTCTCTGAGTGGAGAGTCGTTCTTCGCAACGGGCTTTCTCCTCAGACGTCATTCTGGAGGTGGATGCCAAATGTGGACTTTTGTTGGGTTCAAGAGGGCCTTAATACCCCAACCCGCACCCCGACTCTCATCTCCAGCTTCTTCGTCCAGCCCACCTTACGATGACGGAACGCGAGTCCAGGCGCCCTTCGCCCGCCCGAGCTGGGTCAGGCCCAATTTCCGAGAAAGATGATACCTCGCGACGCCCAAGTATTCCAGCCGAGACTAGCGAGGAGGAGAAGTGGCATGTCGATGTCCCTGTCGACCCTCAAGGAAACCACCACCCGTCGATGATCCGTGCAGACGGGAAGCGCGAGCTGAGAGAATGGGAGTGCTGGGACAAGCTCGCATACTCATGGCCTAAGTGGAAGAAGGCCATGTATCTGGCTTCCATTGCTGGAATCCAAATCTCCATGAACTTCAACACGTCGGTCTATCCTAGCGCCGTCAACCCCATCTCCGAGCACTTCGGAATTAGCGCACAGGCAGCGCGCGTTGGACAGATGATCTATTTGGTCTTCTATTCCTTCGGCTGCGAGCTATGGGCGCCATGGAGTGAGGAGTTTGGTAGATGGCCAATTCTGCAGCTCAGCATGTTTCTTATCAACATCTGGGAAATTCCATGCTCTGTCGCACCGAATTTCGCCACCATCATAGTCTGCAGAGCTCTTGTAAGTCTCCTCCGTACTTAGTACTTTCGTTGCTGATGAGTATTAGGGTGGTCTCTCCACCGCAGGAGGCAGTGTGACTCTTGGTCTTATCGCGGATATGTACGAACCAGAGACGCAGCACTGGCCGCTCTGCTTTATCGTCTTGTCGTCTACGATCGGAACCTCTATCGGTGGTGTCATCGGCGGCCCTATCGAAAAATATCTTTCCTGGCAATGGAACTTTTGGATTCAGTTGATCTTCGGTGTTGCTGTGCAAGCGGTACACTTCTTCATGCCTGAGAGCCGAGCTACCATTCTTATCGATCGCGAGGCCAAGAGACGTCGCAAGACCGGCGAAGATCCCAACATCTACGGACCGAATGAACTTAAATCGCCACGGATTTCGCTCAAGGAAGCCGGGAAGATCTGGCTCCGTCCGTTTGAGATGTTCGTTCGGGAACCTATCGTCTTGTGCCTGTCGCTACTCTCCGGTTTCTCCGACGCTCTGATCTTCACGTTCCTGGAAGCGTTCAACGTCACATTCCCGAACAACTTCGGTTTCGGCACGCTTCAAGTCGCTTGGGCTTTCATTCCCATCAACGCGGCTTACTTCTTCACCTACTTCTTGTACTGGCCTTGGTTCTGGCGCGATGATCACCTGCGCAAGAAGAACGGCCCCGACTGGATGACACCAGAGCGACGATTGAAGCCGCTTCTTCTGCTTGCGCTCTTCGAGCCTATCGGGCTGTTCGGATTTGCCTGGACTTGTAAGTTGACTCCTGAACACCATCAATTGAACTTCAGCTAATAGCGCCACAGGTATGGGACCACCACAAACCCATTGGATCGCACCGATGATCTTCTCCTTCCTCGTCGGACTGGCAAACTTCGCCATCTACTACTCCTCCGTCGATTACATGATCGCCGCCTACGGACCATACTCGGCTTCGGCCACCGGAGGAAACGCGTTCGCTCGTGATTTCCTCGCCGGTATCTCCGCCATGTACGCCACACCCATGTACAACAACCTTGCATCTTCAAGCCCCCAGAAGTCCGAGTACGCCACTACCCTACTGGCATGCCTGTCTTGTTTGGTCGTGGCACCAATCTACGTCTTCTACTGGAAAGGACCCCAGATCAGAAAGGCTAGTAAATTCGCTTCCCTTCTTGCGGAAGACAGGAAGGCGGAGGGCGTCAGGCGACTCAGTAAGGCTGACAACCTTGAGAATCTTACCGCGTAAGCTTCTAGTCACGAAGTCTATGATACCCTAACCATCCTACATGACGGGTTCGGACGCGTCGTTGAAGGTATTGATCTTTTCACGCAATATACCCGAGTCTTGGAACATTCATAAGTTGGCCACGACTCTGTCTATTTTCTGAACATCACTCCATGAGCATGAACTGGATATCCTTGTCGTATCATAGCTATGCGATCACGAAGTCGCGGCAGAATGATGTACAATGGGTTGGCTCTCAATTCGTAGCGGAGTCAAGACTCACATTCTAAGGGGATTACGAAACGTCATGTCAGCCTTCCGTAGAAGATGATCAATATAACGACATAATCACACCCATCAGATGCGCATTTGACTTTCACTACAATCGATATACTGTGTCTTCACTTGGCACCAAGATTCCTATTGATATATGAAACCGACCACTCTGACCGAATCGAACCGCTCAACATCAGACACCCACCCGCTCTATACTCACAATGTCAGCGTGGCATGACTCATCTTGACCATCCTCGTTCTTGCACAAGAAGTAAATCGGAGATGTTCGCAGACATCGCTAGAAGCAATGCCCTGTATAAAACAGTGACCTAAACTATTCCCGAATAGTCCCAAAGCAAACACCACCGTGAAAGTCGGAAAGCTTAGTGAACTGTTCAGCTAAGATATATTGGAAAGACACTGAGCTACCGATCCGCGACTTACGGTGCTAACATATACTCAACGACAATTGCGAAATCTATCACATATACGCATTTACCAACATGACCTTCGGCTCGGCACAGATCTTAGCATACTTGAAGATGCGCAAGACCAAACCGACCAAGAAGTCGACCGAGAAATCCACCACCACCACACCCTCCGAAAAACCCGAAGTCCCAGAAACCCAACAGAACTTCGTACGTGTCTACCCTTCCTCAGCACCACCCCGGTATACTAACCGTCCCATCGGCTCCTCCAGGTTCCGGGAAAGGCTCAGCTTGGATATGACGGCTCCGAAGAACTCTGCTGAGCAAGAGCAACCGCGACGCTTGATGGAAAGTATGGCTATGGTGCCTGAGACCACTGTGGAGGAGCATAGGCGAGATGATCGCCAGGCTTGTGTACCCCAGGTCAAGGAAGTCGTCTCCAGTGTGTCCAATCTCATCAAGAGTGCTGTGGAGGTTGTTAGGCTGCGTTCACGGACGCCTTCGCCTTCGCCATCATCGATTGGTGACTCTGTCAGCGACGAAGAGCCTTTTTCTGTACTTGCCAAACTGGCTGGGATGGACAAGCGGTCGATGCCGCGGCCGCCTCCTCCGGCTGCGGTATATCTTCAACGCTCCAACGCTGTTCGGTACCGGAATCGTCCACGGCCGCAGTCGCGGGATCAGCAAGATGATATGCTTTGTTATCACCCTGGTGGTGAGGCAGATGCGTATTACTTGCAAGATGGCGGATACGGATACGGGAGACCTGGACGCCATTCACATTCCGTACCCCCGAACCTTGCTACAAACACCGATTCACAGCAATGGGAAGGTGCGAGCGTCAAAGGTACGACCTTCTCGCACGTTGAATGCTACGCGCTCCCTCAGGTAGGTAGCCCGCAGTACCATTCTTACGCCGACATGGTAGACTCTGGATCCCATCCGCGTCTGCGTGTCATGAATCGTAGTAGCACAGATTCTTCTCCACAGTCGTCGCTATCATCAAGCGAAGGGTCCTTTGCTAACGAGGACACGAACTTCCGCGCACAGCTCGCAGCTTCAGCATCATTGTGCTACCGGACTGATATTGATATTCCAGACGACGCCTCGGTTTCATCATCATCGTCGTGGCCGGACTACCCGGAATATCACGTCGATGGACAAGACGACGTACAAGAAGACATGTCAGAAGCATTCCGAGCAGCTCGGCGTTTCTTTTCAGATGAATGGTCAGTCGAAGAGGCTGTTCCGGCGAAATCTCGTTTTTCGCTTTGCTCATCCTCGGACAGTGTACCAGAAGCGGTTTCAGCATCTCGACGTTTCTCCCTTGAAAGCTCCTTGATTGAAGAGCCAGTGCCAGCTGAGTCCCGTTTTCTCTTGTCCACCGTCTCGGACAGCGGTTCCGGAGACCTTGGGGTTGAGCGTTGGTGGGCTACTAATACGCGTCACGTCGATGACAACAGCTCGGCAGACGCTGATGACGAAGGAGATGAAGAAAACAATTCGTCTTTTCCGTACTATGTACGTCAGGGGCCACTGAGAGTGCGTAATGCAGCAGTATCGCTATCATCAGAAGGCTCTGTCCCAGCACAAGCTCCCAGCCAATGGTATTGCGCGCAGGGTAGCGATGGAACTTCAGAGAGTAACCTTACAGATGACGATATGGCTTTCTACGAAGGACTCTACGAGCAACCAGATCCAGAGAACGACACCGGACCGATCGATCAATCGCAGTTCGCAGACTTCGACGGAGATTTCACGGGCACTCCTTCGCTTACCAACGATACCTCGCCGGAGAACTCCTCCAGGAGTGAGTCTGGTAGCGGAAGGGTGTTGAGGGTTGTTAACCAGACTTCCCCTCAAGATGGCGCCGGGTCCGAAAACGACGACTGCTCGAGTGACAGCGAATCCAATGACGAACTTCCGCAACGTGGTCGAAGTAGAACTAGAAGGGGCCAATAGTAAGTTGTGTGGGTCTACGACCGGTCTTATGTTCGCATCTAGTCAATTCATCGTGAACCACACGTGAGAAGGAGACTGTGGGATGAGGTAGGAAGAATGCCACCAGGTAAAGTTCAGTGAACATTGCGTTCGGAAATTTTGGAGAGTAAGATTGGACGTGCAATTAGAGAAATGGTCAGTTTAACGAAAGAATGCTTACTATGTCTTTGTTTACGTGGACACGTTCGTGATGTACACAGCGCATGCACGCTGAGCTTTGGGAAGGGCGCTACAGCTGGGCCAAGTCCCTTGCCGGCGTTGCAGGAGTTCGTCATCTCGAAGTAAATTTGTCAAGATGCGAGCGCTTCCTTATGTCCAGGCTGAAACGCATTCTTGGAATGTCAGGCATTAGCGCGTAAGCGACATCTCAAAAAAAGAGCTAGTCGGACCTCCAAGCAACCGCATTTGAAAGAATGATAGAGATTTTGCTACTTCAAACGTTTGAAGGGGGTATGCTTATATAACATCATCAATCGCTTTGGACCAGATCGTCAGGGAAAAAAATGGCCCACAAAACAAGATAAAAGAGGACGCGCGCGCAGAAGAGACAGTCGCAATCATGGTCCTCGTCTACCCATACATAGTGCCCGTATCCTGGTAGTAAAATGTCCAAAAGTATGTTTGCTCTCCCGCACATTAACAACTTTTTCGAAAAAACAGGCTTGCGTAATTTGCTCGGTATTATCAAGATGCGATTGCCCTGTTTATCTGAAGCGAGCAGTGCAGCGGCCCATGACTTCGCCCTGGCAGACGAGCTCGGCGTTGAATTCGGATCCGTCGAGTGTGAGGTAGATGTCAAAGTAGACGCGGTAGAAAGTACCTTGAGGGGTATCCATGCGTTCAAAGTCTTTTTCGAGGTTCTTTCGTGAGAGGTCGGAGGTAAGGGTAACGACTTCCTTGATGCCTGATTCGCTGTTAGTACATACATTTCGTCAAGGTATCTTTTTCACTTACGAGGGTCTTTGGTGTACTCTGGGCAAACATCATCGTCGCATGCGTAGAGTATATCCTCATACATGAGCGTCGCACCAGGCGCGACCTGTCTGAAGAACGAGACCTTGACTGGCTCGCCAATCTTGACCCTTTGGCCCTTTTGCACGAAAATCTGGCGCGTGTACTTGCAGCGATCTTTGCCATCGAGAGACGGAACACGGTATTGTTCGGGGTGGTGGCCCTCCTTGAATGGCTGGAGAGTGGCCATGAGGTAATGCCTACGCGCAACACGGTGTGTGACAATTCGCTCTGTGATACCGGCCGTGACGGCTCCCTTGACGATAGCGGCAACGGAGTCCATGGGACGGACAACCTTTGACTGAAATTGGGGCGGTACGTGAAGTTTGATTTGTTGGAAGAGATATTCGGAGGCACCGAAACCACCGACCACCAAGACGTTCTACTATAATCAGCACTGGGAGTGACCTGTTTCGACACCTGTGACTGCTTACCTGCAATGACCTGTTCTGTGCCTGAATAGCAATAATCTGGTTCCTGACAAGCTCGAGAATGCGGTTAACCACAGGCTCAAAGCACTGTAGAATCTCCTCATTGGTGAAAGTCATGTACCCCTCCTCAATGCCAGCCTCAGGGAATTCAGCCTCGATACCGACGTCGACAGCCCACTTTTGACCATTGTTTCGGAAGTCGGCTTTTATCCTGTTCTCGAAGTCCATGATACATTTGGCGTACACTTTACCGGCTGTCTTGGAGCCATCTGGGAGTTTCATCTTCCTGATCTTGGCTCGGAGGATGTTGCTGAAGTTGCGGTTGAGCGCGGTGGAACCACACGAGTCTCCGGATCCAGCTGTGCACTCGGCGACGGAGAAGGGCTGCTCTTCTTCGACTTCGTAGGCGATCAAATCGACGGTGCCACCACCGCAATCGACAATGAGGACGGCGTCGTGTATCTTGAGGTTGAGCAGACCGGTCTTTGAGCAGAACATGGCGGCGGCTTCGGGTTCGGTGATGAGGGTGAGTCGGTTGTCGTTTTCGTCCCGCAAGAAACCAGCCTGAATGGCAGCCGCACGCGTTGCAGCCTTTCCAGCGTCGTTCCAGATGGCGGGCACTGTCAGGTAGTATCTGATGTTGCGCTCCTCACGGTTGAAGACCTCACCGAGTGTCTTCTGCAGCTGGTTCCGCATGGCCTGGCGCAGGTGGAAGAGGTAGTCGGCGGCGACATCGATCTCAGACTTGCCCGGGGGTAGCGGTGGGAGGTTGATGGGGTCGATGTATGTGTTTCCGGACAGCATGAGCTGCAGCTTGAACCATTCGACCTTTTGCACACCAGGCTTGGGGTAGCCCGTGGGGGCCAGAGCATCGGCGATGTCAGGGCCCCATCCGACTACCTTCTGGTACTGGTCGTAGTAGAGGACGGTGGGGATCTGCAATGGGTTAGCGGGTGCGTGTGGAGGGGTCGGTGTAGCGCACCTTCTGCTTTGTCTGGTTGCCCGCGCCAGGCCATTCGGTGATGATGTCTTCCTTGGCCTCGGTGTTGGTCGCAAAGGCGAATGCGACGCCGGAGAAGGTGGTGCCCTGTGTGGCATGGTTAGCTGCTGCTGCGTCCGGTGGTGTCTGGGGCTGCTCACAAAGTCGATGCCGACAATGAGCTGGGCCTTGGAGCGACCTTCGCCCGCTACCTCTGCCATGCCCGAGGGCCTATTGTACGTTGCGGGGGGACCATGAGGGGCAGGAGCTCCCGGCGGAGGAGCGCCGTAGCCCTGGCCGTACTGTCCAGCTCCCGGCGGGCCCTGGGGAGGATAGCCAGGCGGGCCAGCCTGCGGCGGGTAGCCCATGGGGGTCTGCTGGGGCGGGTAGCCAGGCGCGCCCGTGTTGATGGGCGGCAGAGGGCTCGCGGGCCGGCCGTGCTGTTGTTGGGGCGCACCGAGGCCGCCGGGCGGGGCATAGGTATATGAGGGCGGGCGGCCCAGGGGGTTTTGCTGGTTCATGGGGAGCGAGGTGCTGCTGGAATTCGAAGCCTGGGGCGATAGCGACGTCGGTCGTTGCGCTCCCGTGGGGGCGGGATTGCCTTGGGGCGTGGGCGAGGGATTGTGTGAGGAACTCTTGCGTTTCGAACCCACTAGGTTCTTGAAACGGGCGTTCATGGAACTCATGAGAGAGGAGGGAGGAGGGCTGGTCAGGCGGGAGGGGTGCGGTGCAGGATATCTGGGAGCGGTGCTGCGGCTGACAGCAAGCTGGGCGCGGTCCAAACGGCGCAAGCTGCAAGGCTGTGTGAAGGAAAGCCCGCCAACGCGGTGCGGCGCAGTCCCGGAATTGGCTGGGGCAGCTGGAGGACAGGCAAAGTATCCTCGAGCTTGACACGGCAGATGCAGCGCGCGCACACCCAACAGTTCAAGTCCCTGGCCACGGCGCTTGCTGGCGAAATTGACGCGGCGGGGTGAATTGTACACAAAGAGCGGGTCACTCTCCGCCGGTCAGCATCCTGGGCATCCTACGCCACATACTAAAGGTATCGCCCACGACCAGCCACGTCGAGCCGCTGTCAAACGCGCCTGTTCAGTCCAGTTCCCAGCGGTACCCCAGCGACATGCAACGACTATTCCCGGCCGAACACCACGTGCTGAGCAGGGCCGACTCTCAAGAGGACAAGAAGACAAGATAGTTTCCTCAAGCACTCTGGCGGCCTGACCAATCCATCAACGATGCATCCGTCTTACAAGCCCGAGCTGGGTGGGTCCGCTGCACACTGCTCACCTCAGCACTCTAGATGCCTGAGGTTGCACGTTGCGGATGCTTTGCCCTATGCGAGCAATGGGCTGGAATTGCAAAGGTACAAGCTTGACATCTCTGTGCAGTTTGCAGGTCGTCACCTATCTTCGCGTTTCTTTGTCCCGATGCCCATCGATGCCATGCTACGGACCCACTAAACTCTCCACACCAGGGTCCGTAAGGCTGGTGTCTAAACTTGGAACCGGGCCTGTTCGGTCACGGTATGCTAGCGTCGAATTGTGCAGCACGTTAACCAGTAGATCTTGACTTCCATGCGTATGTCTGAGACTCGATCAGAATTTCCAATGGCAATGTCTTGATGCTATGCGAAGTATGTGCTAAAATGATTTCAAAATGCGACCATCCAACGTGCCAATGTACCCAGTGTATCCCATGTGTCCAACGTATCCAATGTATCCGACGTAAACGCCAACAAGTATCCCACCACCCTATCCAAAAGTCGCGTAGAATGCTCGTGTGTGTATCATATCTGCCCAATCTCACCTCAGCATCCCATCATCCCACCAGCCCACTCCCAAACGCCAGCCAAGCCAACACCCCCGACACAGCCAACAACATTATCGCAACAACAAACATCGCAACAATATTCTCAACCGAGTACCTCACATCATCCGGCCTCACCACATCCACACCAACCTGACTCTCCTCGTCTTCCTCGCGACCCCCGTGCTGACCACGGGGTACGTACTGCACGAGCGTATCGCGATACGACTGTCGGACTGCGATTGCGTATGGTGGTGGTGCGTCGGCTGGGTAGAAAGCGTCACCGGGTTGGTGAGATATTTCCGTCGACTGCGTGTACGCGTGGGAGACGAGGTGGGCGAGGGGGACGTCATCCGCGTCTGGGGTGTGGGGTGGCGAGTCTGTGTATGGTTGGTAGGGTGGACTGCGTCGTGACTGCCGTTGGTGGGTCGGTGAAGTGGTTTGACGCGTCGAGGGTGATGCTTCTGTTGGTGTTGGGGGGTCGTCGCGGTAGGGCTCTTCGTCTGCGTAGGGAGGAGGCGTTGCGGACAGCGGTTTTATGGTCGCGGATGAGTCTGAGGAGCTGGGTGATGTTTGGTGGGTAGACGATGTTCTTCGGTCTCGTGCCGGAGAGTCGCGGTATGGTTCTGTAGTAGTGTTCTGCGCAATGTTTAGCTGACGTGACTCCAAAAGGGAAGACAGGCTGATGTATACCTCCATGATGAGCTTTCAAAGCCAGGTACGATGCGTTCTCTCTCAAATATGCCTCCAACACTGCCAAAAGAGCGTCCAATTCCCTCAAGCCCTGCCAAAGAAGCTGCTGTAAGCTATGTCACCAAGATGCTGTTGAGCGCGATCAGTAGAGGCTGCGGCACGTTACACAGCACAGGAGGTTAGCAGTCGCGTAGTCACAGGCACATATCAAGTTGGAGAGCACAAGGCAGCTGCGACAGGCGTCCAAGGCCTTCCGCAGCAGCGGCGCAGTAGTCCATAGCTGCCCCCATCAGATGGCTGGGGGGTAGCTTCGACATCCATGCGCTGTGACGATTGTGGCTATAGCGGGGACGAGTGGGTTTAGCGCTGAGGCGCGAGTCCTGGCTACGCCGCTGCCGGGCCGGTAAGGCAGACATTATGACATCGGCATGCCGTTGGATTCAATCGATAATCACAAAAGAATACAGACCACCATCCTCACAACGAAAGAGTCGTCTGCATAGCAGTTTCTGTCGAGTTCTCCCATCTCTCAACAAGGTTTGCAGCCAATATCAATGCTTCCAAAGTTCCGAAGAGGAAGGACCATCGCAACGCACAGTTCCGAAACCGTGACCCGCGACGCGAGAGTGCCTGACATCTCAGGAACGCGTTTCAGGCTGAGAATAGTATCCAAATTTGCAAGCGCCTCACCTACCAACGGATGGTTCCGAAAATTGCCGATGCGCTGTTCTCATGCTTTCTTACGGTGTCGGCGACGGCGGTTGTCCTGCAGCGATGCGGCGCTGTCACCGCCGGCGCTCGGGTGGATGATCTCTAGAATGTACTCCGCATTGACATCTGGAGATCACCCTCTGTAACTCGCGAGAGTCACTGATCACACTCTGAAGATATCATAGTGATGCTTAGCCGAACGCCCTGTGCTGTAATGCGACATCTCCCCACGCGGCGACTAACTTTACCGCCATCAAAGCTTGGGCACTTTCATGACTCTCGGATCTTCACGCGGTCTCGAAGAGTGCAGTTTAGATCCCCTCTCGGTCAAGTCGCTCTCTTCTCTTCGCGAGTGCAATCAACCAGAGAAGGTAGGAAGTCATCGTAGTCGCCCATGCTCTGCCAATCTGCCGTTGCTCACACATCCCAGGTCCTGACCCCTACAATTATACTGATGGCCGATGGCTCCGTCACGATGCGCTGCACCGTCGAGCACGCATGATACAGTTCGACTTTGACTCTCTGTGTCAGAAAGTGGTGGCACTCTGTCCAGGTACTAGCTCGATCTCTTCGTATGAGAAGAAAGAAGGGGATAATAATCGAGTATTCATCTTCCATACTGACAATGGCAAGCGTGTCGTTGCGAAACTACCTTTCTCTGTAGCAGGGCCGCCAAGATACAGAACTAGCTCGGAAGTCGCGACCATCAAGTATCGTATGTTCTACCAAGCAAAAGATTGCACAAGAAGACTCAATAGCTGACAATCCTGTGTCTGAGTAGTACAACAGACTACGAGTATTCCTATCCCGAAGATTCTCGACTGGAGTGATGACGCCTCGAACCCCATTGGAACTGAGTACATAATCATGGAACACGCGTCTGGTGTTCCTTTGCAAGAGAAATGGCCCACTATGGACGTAGATGAACAATCTCAGTGCGTTAGTAAGATCATATTCGAACTCAACGAACTTGGCAAACTCGAATTTCCGGCATACGGCAGCCTTTACTTTGCGAACACGTCATACGTTACCGGAGCCGAACTACCCTCTAACCCGGGCTACTGCATAGGCCCTCACTGTGGGTCTACCTATTGGGATTGCAATCCTCGCGAGCCCAGATACTATCACACTGTCAACCCGAACAGAGGACCATGTGGGTATAGGCGCATACTGTAGTCCCACCTACCTGCTCACAATAGTATCAGGGCCCAATCTCAGCACATACTGCGACAGTCTCATAGACCTCGGTATCTCTCGAGTTCCCCCACCTCACCTCATAACCAAACACCCACACTGGCAAGAATTCCACGGATCACCCACAGAACACTACGACCTACTCTCACAAGGCCGCGCGCTGCTAAAAGCAATGGCTCGCCACCCCTCACTCCAAGACACTGCAAAGCCATCCCTATTCCACCCCTGTCTACACACAGACAACATCTTCGTCTCAGAAAACACCCCCACAACCGTCACAGCAATCATCGACTGGCAAGCCTGCAGCATAGAACCAGCTTTCCACTACGCAGACATCTCACCAGACTTTGCGCAACCACGCCCGCACGTCCAGCCAGAACGCGAGTTGAGTTTCAAACGCGATGAATGCGGCATCCGCTTTGACTTGGGTCTAATCGTATTCTTCGGTCCTATGTTTAAAGCACGTCGAATGGACACTGCGTACCTCACCCCCTTCCGCTACTGCCACCGCACATGGAAAGACGGCTTCATCCGCTTCCGCAACGAAATTATCCAGACGGCGCGACGATGGGGGGAATTGGGCTTTGAAGGTGCATGTCCTGTTGCTTTGCTCAGTGAGGCCGAGTGCGCAAAACATATGGAAGAGTACAAGACTTTTGAGGAGATTCAAGAATGGAAGGAGAGTATAGACGTTGCATTGAATGTAGGAGAGGATGGCCGGGTGCCGGCGGAGGCGTATGAAAAGATGCAGGCTTTGCATTTGGAGTTGCTGGAGTATAGTGTGAAGCATATGTTTGAGGGAGAGGGGATTGATCGGGATACTCAAGTTCAGAACTATGAGTTCTTGAAGGAGGTGTGGCCTTTTGATCTGCCGAGTGGGTATAAAGAGGAGCTTAGGCGGGAGTGATGGGTGGTGAGTCGTAGGGTGGTGAGTCGTAGGGTGGTAACGTGGGATGTGCTGATGCTTTAGCTGGTGTCATCAGGGGACTCTCCACTCAGATTTGGCGTCTCCAAGGAGGATGAGAGAACCGGAGAGATTAGAATTGGGTGTATGATTATTGTGTAAGTATACAGGGGAGCGACAAAATGCTAGCATTCATGGACAAACAGCTCTCGTAACTCTCGACTGTGCCCGGCCTGCCGCATTTGAACGCTGAACGTCTGCCATACTACACACCTACTCGGGCGCTGAGGCACGCACGCGGGTATTGTTTCCTACCAGCTATTCCTGCCAGCTATCGACGCAAGCAAACCTCTAACATGACTAACTTCCATGCCAAAAGCTGCACTGTTTCCAGTGCTAATTCTCCCAGCATATTACACTTGCGATTTCACTCATTCATGAGTGTATCTTCTCGTCTAGATCGTCGATGTTGCAGAAGTTGTGAGTGCCTCGTTTCGCTCTGCGTCATCGCAGTACCATGGGATGAAATGGAATGGCTAATTCTCCCACACAAACCCTGAGGCTGAGCACTAGCTATGCCATGGAGGCATCTCATACAAGAAGAAAACCGAACAGGCCTAGAGCCTACATCGACGTCAGGCTACCTACTTTACATATTTCCATGTTACCTAGGTAATGTAGGCTGCAGACCTGTTCGGTCTTTTCCTAGATTAACGTGGAGGCTGTGTATATGCGGCTGAGCTTGAAGCAGCTCTGTGGCCGCCGATCATGGCCTCGATGTGCTATGTGGCGTCCGGTTCGGCAAGGCAGACTACCTATGCGGTCATTGTTGTTGCAGCCAATCGCCTCTGGGCACGCGACAGCTCAGATGAAGGACCTCTCTTGGCGCGAAAACACATTTCCGACAGCAGCTAATTCTTCTCAAGTACTGCTTGCATGCACTACAGCTAAGAAGCTTTGAGTAGGCCGTTGTTCTGAATCTATAGCATCCTGTTCCTATGCCTTCAGCAGTACCAACACCTCCAGCTGCTTACGGCAGTAACACCATCGCGGTTACAACATACCCATGTTTGCCTCGCCCCACACACAATTTTCCGGCTTCCTACACATCCGGCAGCTCCCTAGAGTTTTCAAGCCACACTTCTTTGAATGAACGCAAACCATCGAACTTGTATGTAAAAGCCAAACTACCTAAGTAGGTTGACTTCATTACTGAGTCACATTGTAGGGCACCGGAGACTACTGCCTCCCCAATTATTCTCCAATCGGGGCAGTATTGGCGTGAATTTGAATTACCGGGAAGCCCGGGCATATCATGTTCTCTCATAGAACCCGTTTCATGCCAACATCTCTATTCATGCCAGAGCCATGGGGCAGAGTACAAATCCTCGACTTCCGGCAAAGCGCTGCTGGTCGCCCCAATACAAGTATCCCAGGATGCTTCAGTATCCGACGCGCCGTCCAAGCAGGCCCGAGAATTTGGATTGCCTACTCATCAGAGATTCTCATCATCCTCTGTCAACCCTAGTGGCCTTAGAATTGTATGCGTGGAGATGCCAGATTCTCTTCTTACAGGGTGGGAAGTACTTCAAACAAACGACTTAAAATCTGACGATGATCTTTTCCACGCATTACGTGACGCGCGTAAAAAGGAAACCGGTTGGCGAAGACATCTTATGAGGGTTGAAGGGATAAATTATGTGAAAGTACGTGTCTGATTCCGCTTGAGGTAATCTCATTACACACTCAGCTTACATTCGCTAAGATCACGATCGAGGACAATCAAGTGGCCAATATGAGATACGATGATCTACCATCAGACGATCATACAGAATATCCATTCGAGCCAAGACCAGTAACATACATGCCCCCGGTGCACCCTAAAAATCTGGCGTTAGAGTTCGATAACATTAATCGCCTCCACGACGACAGTTCCATGATGTTGCGTAGCCTGCCACGGCTGACAGACCCTTCAAAGATTCACATGCACCGAGTACTCAACACTAGCAGAGAAGAAGTATGGGGAGCAGGTATTGTTGAGTGTTTTAGTTATCTCAGTGTTTCTCTGGCCACATGTGGACTTCTCCTTACCATGCTCGGTCTCTTCGTTCTATACATCATGTCGGCACACAGGTATGAGAACGAGTTCTCTATAGCCGAGGGTGTGATACAACCTCGCATCGCTTTGGACTACGCCTCACTCAACCCTTGGATCAAGCTCACTGCAAGATTTACGCGAGCTTGTTACTCTACCTGGCATCGATGCGTGACTTCCATCATCCCTTGCTTCAGGGACACCACCTTAGCGCCCGCCGAACCGACACACCAACGTCTCGAACCCCATAACGCCTTGAACCACGAACTCGTTGGTCAGAACGCCAGCCTATCGAGTGGCGCACGTGAAGCGACATCAGACTACTCCAGACGAGGTCAATCGGACGAAACGGAAGTCAGCAGAGATCCAGATCATGGTGTCGATCCCGGCCTCAGCGGACCCAGTAATGAGTGGCAACAGGACGATGGGAACGATAATGATGAAGGCACAGAATTACAAAGCCTGGATTACGACAGTACGGAAACTGAAGAGCCCGACATCGAAGCGGCAGAGCTTTTCCTTCACATCATCATACCCGCCGGCCTAGCCAACAAAAAGCAAGTTCCATTACAAGTAACCCAGTACGAAACCGACTACGACCTAGCCTACCTATTGAACCGCGTCTACCGTGAGCGACGCCCATACTGGCGTGCGATCTTCATGGTGAACTCTGTCCGACCCGTCAAGTACGAGCTTTACAACAAAACCAACGTCCGCATCATCGACACCGGCAATCCGGTGGATACCATGCCCGACATATTCAACCGACCGGAAGAGTACGTTTTCAGCTACTGGCCCCCAATGCCCCTGCCTGAACCCCCTCTTCTGCACTCTGCGCAGCTCACCTCGCTCTACTGGGATCCGGGTAGCTCGGTACATGAAGAATCTTTGGGAACAGTACACGAAAGACAATGCTTTGCGCGCTCTCCGAAACGCAAAGGTCGACTGAGGTTTATGCCTAACAAAGGTTATCCTACGGGCTTTGGCTTTGAGATTGTGGAAAAGCTGAACCTTAGATTCATACTGACATGCGAATCTTTGATTGCCTTCGTCGCCCTTTTGTTGACGTTTTTGTATTTGGGTCTCGGGAAAGGAGAACAGAAATGGGGAGCGGCCCCCACCATTGGGAGTTTTATCTTCGCTGTTGGTCAATTTCTGTTTGCCGTCATCATTGTAATCATAGAGAGGTGCGAACTTTGGGCGTATTAGACAAAATGGAAATAGACGTTTCGAGGAGCATGTTTCGAGAGTTTTTGGTGCACATTACTATAGGTGCTTGTTCAGCTACTGGCCCCCTTCGAGCGTGATAGCTTTCGAACGAACCCATTCCATTCGAAGGTACCCCATCGTTCATCTCTCATCGATGAAAGTTTTACCCCAGCCCTTGGGGATATAATGCAAATAATATGTCACAAGTTCTGTCCTCTTCACTTGACATCCCTCCGTTTAACGCCAACGCTGATAATGCAAATAAAGGTAGAGCCTAAGCTCTTACACCCGGACCAGGCACAGCAGGCGCCGCCTTGTTGACCTCAGGCTTAGTATCCTTTTCTGTGTTCTTGAGACGCGCCAAGATGACTGTGAGCGTCTTCTTCTCTCTTCCGTCGTTGTCCAGCACATGAATCAGATCACGGAGCTGGATACCGGCGCCTGTTTCGGTCTGCTCAATGGTGTCGCCGAACTTGCGCTTCTTGCCCATGAGAGCTTTTTCAGGCGCTTGGACCGCAGGTGTAGCGGCGCCACTGCCACCTGTTGCTGCAGCCGGTCGTGGTGTTGATGCACCTGACGCTGGTCCACCACCACCGCCCGTCATCCACGAGTATTTCTTCTTCTTGCCACCAAGCGCCATGCTGGCGGTCTCGTTGGCTTTGCCAAATACGACAACGTCCGACTGACTCTGCTTCTTGGCGAATGCCAAAGCCTTCTTTGTCACAGGTTCCGGCATGGGTATTGGTGCAGCTGGCGCATCTGCTGAGGAAGCCGAGGCGCCTGCTTGACGCTTTGCGCGCTTGCGAAGGCGCTCCTGCTCCCACTTGTAGTCATCATTTACACGCTTCGTAAGCGCAATGGCAACGTGATTGACGTTTTGGTATGTTCGCTGAGGAGTCGGGGGTGCTTCGCTTGGAGGCGTTGGTAATCGTCCCGCATTGGGGACGCCTAAGTCGATTAGCAATAGATTGGAAAATATTCAAAACAAACATACCCTTGCTGGCTGTCGCTGTAGGGCTGACAGCGCTGTCTGTTGCCTCCCACGGCGTCTTCAAGATGTTGACTGGCGGAGCCATCTTCTCTGATGCGCCCTCATCCACCACAGCAAGATCAAGCATCTGTGGGGGAATGATGCCATGAGAAGTATTTTGACGACCTTGGCATAAAGCGAAAGAATCCTCAACTATGGTCCGGACACGCTCCTCGGCAGCCAGCGATATCAGCGTCAGAATCTCCACGAGGGGAGCGTTTTGGTTCAGTAGACTGGCAGCTTCCAAGCCTACGATTTGTTCGCCGTTGGCACCAGCTGCTGTGGTACGTGCGATCTCTTGCTGTCCCTTGTCTGGGATCTTGTCGAACAAGCCATCTACATTGATCTGGATACCGTGCTCATATCCACGTTTCGCGATGCGATGTCTTAGGACACTTGCTGATAGGAACGGGTCGTTCAGCGGCTGCTGGGCTGACTCGTTCAGGATCCTGGCGGCTTGCTCGTGCTTCCTGATGAATTCGGCTTCATGCTGCTCCTTGGTCATTTCTTGGCTAAGTGCGCCGGTCCCTTGGAATGCGCCATGGCCCGACTGCTGGCTCCAGTTATTGAAGCTAGCATGTGGTGATGCTGTGGAGCCCGATGCTTGCGAGTTGAAGCTCCTATAGTTGTGCAGCAGGTTGTCCTCCTCGGCGCGCAGATCAATACCAGATCCTGTGAGCACATCGCTAATGTTATTGACGTCCAGGTCGCGCGCATTTGCCTTTTCTAATTCCGAACTATCGCCAGTCTTGCTATAAGGGACCTTGGGTGGCGGCATGGAGCCCTGGGGCGCTGGCGGCTGTCCATTCGGGTGCTGATACGGCTGGGGCTGGTGGAAGGGCGGAGGCTGCATCGCGGCGGGCGAGGTGGGCAGCGAGTGGTAGCCAGGCGTCTGCGGGGAAGCGGTATACGGCGAGGGAGGGTATTGGGGCGCGCCAGGCATGCCAAAAGGCGACTGGTACGGCGCAGGCGATGGCGGGTTTGGCGACAGGCGCTGTCGCTTATTCGGAGGAATGCCGCTGCCCATGGTCGGGGACAGGGCGGTCGGCGACTGCTGGTAATTCTGCGGTGAGAAGGCGCGCGGCTGCTGCTGGTGGCCCAGATTCTGCGTTTGCACGGGCGGCGGGGGCTGCTGGCCCGGCGGCGGATACTGGTAGTTGTTCGGGTAGGCCATGGTGGGCAGCTCGTCCCTTTCGGGGAGTCGCGCTGGCAGAGGGATTCTATCGGCGCGTCATCCGGCGGCAGTGTGTTCGGGGCTCGGTAGCGCTTGCGATGGGACGTGTTCGGCGGGCAGGCGCGGTGGGTGGAGTTGGCAGGCGCGTCGGGGTTGGTGATGTCGCGGTTGGTAGAGCGGACGATGAATCTGGGAATGACGAGCACGGACAAAGTCTTGGCAGTCGCGCGCCAGACAAAGAGAGCCGCAACGGTCAACCAACTGCCACTCCGCTCTCACTCGACGCTGCCACGACTTTCTTCCCACCCTTGGGCGTTTCCATTGAGGCGTTGAATATCCCTGCGACACTAATTCACGATTAATGAGCTAGGTCCAGGCGCGGTTTATAGATATCTTACGCGTTCTTCTTCGGCTACCACCTGGGCATCCACCAACCCCGTAGCCTCACCTCCGTCGCCCGTATACCGCCTAGTAAAACATCCACATCCCAACCCACACAACTATGGCGTCGAAGAGAAAGGCGACGGCTATGGCGCCCGAGGATGAAGACCCAATAGATCCCTCCGACGAGCTCATGTTCCTCTGCTTAGGAGGCGGTAACGAGGTCGGCCGCTCGTGTCACATCATCCAGTACAAGGGCAAGACCGTCATGGTGCGCATTCAGGACTCGCATACTCTACGGCAACTGTACTAACGAGGGACAGCTTGATGCCGGTATGCATCCCGCACACGAAGGCTTGTCCGCCATGCCATTTTACGATGACTTCGATCTTAGCACCGTAGACGTGCTACTAATTTCACAGTATGTATACGCGCGTCTTGCTTGCCATGGTAGTTGGGGTTCGGCGCATCACTGGAGTCGGACCATGAGCGCGCAAAGGGCACTCGCAATACAGCGACTTGTATATCACTATGAATGGAATATAATTTGCTTCCTCCCGCTCGACTTCGATGATGTGCCCCTCCCTGGTTCCCACCAATGTATCTACAACTTTGGGCGCTTCTTCCAGGCTCACCCTGAGTCCTCCAGTCGTCCTCCAGCATGCTGACATCAGGCTAGTTTCCACGTCGATCATGCTGCCTCTCTACCCTATGTGCTTGCGAAGACCAACTTCAAGGGCCGCGTATTCATGACACATCCGACCAAGGCCATTTACAAATGGCTCATCCAAGACTCTGTCCGTGTCGGTAACATGTCGAGCAATTCCGAGACCAAGATCCAAATGTACACCGAGGCGGACCATCTCAACACCTATCCTATGATTGAGTCAATCGACTTTTACACCACCCACACCGTATCCGGTGTACGGATAACACCATACCCAGCTGGTCACGTACTGGGAGCGGCCATGTTTCTCATGGAGATTGCAGGCCTAAAGATACTCTTCACCGGCGACTATTCGCGAGAAGACGATCGACATCTGGTATCAGCATCGGTACCTCCGGGCGTAAAGATCGATGTCCTCATCACTGAGTCAACATTCGGTATCTCAATGCATACACCACGAGTAGAGCGAGAAGCACAGCTCATGAAGGCTATTACCGACGTTCTCAACCGCGGAGGTCGTGCTCTACTTCCAGTCTTCGCCCTGGGTAGAGCCCAGGAACTTCTTCTCATTCTCGACGAATATTGGAGCAAGCATCCAGAAGTTCAGAAGATACCCATATACTACAACTCAAGCTTAGCTCGTAAGTGTATGCAGGTCTACCAAACGTACGTCTCGGCCATGAACGACAACATCAAACGTCTCTTCGCCGAGCGCATGGCCGAAGCCGAAGCTGCAGGAGATACTGGCCGTCGTGGAGCTTGGGATTTCAAGTTTGTCCGTTCACTCAAGAGTCTGGAGCGTTTCGACGATCTAGGTGGATGTGTCATGCTTGCCTCGCCGGGTATGATGCAGTCCGGCACATCGCGCGAGCTGCTTGAGCGATGGGCGCCCGACCCAAGGAATGGTGTCATCATCACCGGTTACTCCGTCGAGGGCACCATGGCGAAACAGATTGTTCACGAGCCGGACCAGATCCCAGCCATCATGTCCCGTGCTAGTAACGCAGCACGTCGGCCGGGTCAGAGGGAGAATGAGCAGGCCATGATTCCCCGACGGTGCACAGTCCAGGAGTACAGTTTCGCGGCGCACGTTGATGGAAAAGAGAACATGGAGTTTGTGCAAGAAGTCGCCGCTCCTGTCGTTGTAAGTCTAGCTCATTCCACGCTCACGGTGAAGACCACGTACTAATTGAATCTCAGATTCTTGTTCACGGCGAAAAGGGTAATATGACACGCCTGAAGTCTAAACTACTTTCCTTCAATGCCCAGAAAGCCGTTCCCACGAAGATCTACTCGCCCGCCAACTGCGAGGAACTTCGCATTCCTTTCAAGACCGACAAGATCGCCAAAGTAGTTGGAAAGTTGGCCTCTATTGCTCCACCTTTACCACGCTCTCTGTCTTCCAATGGTGAAGGTGAGGCTACTGAAGACCAAGAAGGGGAGAAGGTGGATATGATTAGTGGAGTTCTGATCCAGAACGACTTCAAG